TTTTAAATCGCGTGATTATGATTTATTTACTGGGTGCTTCCAGAACTTTTCTGATGCTACCATGCTAATCTTTAAATTGATCTTAGTCGACATTCTCATCACGTACATGTCTATTGCATGTGAATTAATAGTGCGTCCATTTTTAAAGACGCAGTCTTTTTATGGGCAACCTGCCATTCTTGCGAGAGAAAAGACGTATATATAGGTTACAGTTTCCGACACTTACTATCTAGCCGTAGCAAGATATAAATGTCAGCTGTATTAATGTTCCAAAAAAAACCAGCTGATTTTGTATCAACAGGCAAAAGTTTAGTTAACTTTTACAAAAAGTTCGTTTACAAGATATCATTTCTTTTTTTTTTTGTATCAAGAAATCCTCCATTTGTGTGGAGATATTCCACTGTTTATGCACAAAACTCTGCAGCAAAGGGCTACAAAAGTGTAACTTGCAGGTCGTACGAAGCAAAAAATCTGATTATTTTTGTATGTAATGATTATTCCAAGCAACTGAAAAGCAGAAAGGCCGCGAGGTGTTAGCCCTAAGCAGTACTGCTACTGACACAGCTGAAGTTGCCGTTGTTGTAAAAGTCCCTGCTTCAAAAAAGGCTTCAGTTGTATCGAACTTCGTTCATTTTTGGACGTGTCAAGAATGTGAGCCTGTTTTAGTGATATCTCTACCTATGACTGATTGATTACTTTTTTGGTTTGGAGGCAACGTGCAGTGTGTAAAACTTGGCAGCGATTATCTTTTTAGTCCGTGGTGTTACAGCCCGCTTTATTAACTACCTATAGAAGCTAGCAGACCGCGGTACGGACGCGTATGATCGAGTTGTAGGAATCGTCGCAGCGAATAGTTGTACCAGCACTGGAATAACAGTAATACCTTTAGTGGACAGTAATCGGACTCTGGTACTCATTGGCAGAAGATCACTTATAGCCGCCAGCGGAAAAAGCGGGCTGATGTGACCCAAGTAACGCCGCTACTAAGATCTACGGTAGCCGACACAGCATTGACGATTGCAGTCTCTCTGACACTGCGGATTGTCCCTCCTCTCCTAGCGCGCGATGGCGGGAGCGCGCATCATTATGCCATGTAGCATTCCGCTGACAGCCGGTCGCGCGCGTGCGATGGACTATAAGGCACGACGCGGTGATTGACATGGTTGCACTTCGCTTCCGTTGCGAACAAAGTAACTTGCTTGTGTGTCCTTAACAGTCCATCGTACGTTTTTGCGGTGAACGCCAATGTAAGTGGTCGAACAAGCGACCTTGAATGGTCGTTGGAAGTGCGTGACATCTGATAAAAAGCGAGGAGGTCAAAGCTTCGGAGCCGTCTCTAGGGATGCAAATGTGACAGAGACGTCTACGAATTTTATCTCTTTAGTTAAAATTGTTGATAAATTCATTAGCTTGAAGTACAACGGTGCTGGTGTTCGAGTTTGGACTTCTACAGTGGTACCCTTCGCTCAAGGCAAGCTGGCATTAAGCAGCGGACAAAATTGACAATTCAAGTGTCTTTGAAAGTCGACTCGGCCCATCAACAGACGTCAGGATGAATAACATTGTAGTATGTATAATCATAATATCTTGATTACTACGGTAGCTTAATTACACTAAAGGGAATTATGTAGAAATCGTTGTGCAGCGATGACGAGTGCTACTGGTTTTCTCCTTGTGTAGCCCGTCCGGTTCAGTGCCTAAGAGAACACATTTCACTGCGTCGAATATCAGACGCTAGTCCTACAAAAAGCGCTTATGTTGTTACCGTGAAAAGCAAGTGCCTTACAAAGCTGTACTACAGAAATTGCCCCGGTTCATCCACCGCTAACGCAAAAGTCAGTACAATTGCTTCATGTTGGCATGAAATGTTGAAATTGTATCGAAACTGACCAAACCCTTTATCGTCTGTTAATGGCCAACAGTACATGCTCTAAGGTGTTACACGTGATTATTATATCCGTTATAAAATACAGATCGTAGAACCAAGCGTCAGCCATGCGTAATCGTCAAACCACTATTATTATGTGCCTGTTGAAGGTATTTGACAGCTGAAGTTCTGGGCTCCCCTAGACATTTCACGTAAATAGTAGTAAGGTATAGTAGCTATTCCGATAGCAATGGCATAAAAAGATGTGATACAGAAGTTATCTTAATTCAGCTTATACACAATGTTTGCACGCACATTCCTTTGGGGCGCCGTGCAGCTAAGCCCCTTATCTGCAGCGACATAAGTACGCTTGTACATAATGACTGCAGTAAACATCTGTCGTTTAGTTACGCCGTCCTCTTTATCAGGAAGAACATGTTTTAACCAGTTCGTCTTAATCTACATCTGTCTCTAGCAAAGGTAACTTTTCGCAAACAAAAGCAGGGATCAGTCATGTAAATGTGGTAAGTGTAATTTATGTAGGAACAGAGATGTAATTTGATTTGCGAACAATCCGGCAGAATCCAGCTTGAATGTATGAACGTTAAGACAGCCATGTCCGCATGTCACTGCGGAACAAAACATGGCTCAATATAGTGGATTGGTTGCGCACAGCGGTATGGTCTGACACAACGCTTGCGCTTGACCTTATCCGGAAACACCTGTACCAACCGTTTTGGGCCCTGTGTCTACTACCGTTAACTCGGTAACCGGTATTTGTAGACTTTCACTTGAGAATCCGTTGTTCCGGTGTTTAGGCTCGTGTTCACCGACACGATCCGATCGCTGGCAAACGATATTGACCTTTTGTGCCACCGACCATAGATCCCGTAATATCCTGGACATTTCCTACTTTCCAATCTACGAGCCGTTTCGTTGTCAATGGCTGCAATTTACTGTTGCCAATCGACTGAATATGACATCGTGGGGTCATCTTTACCACATTGACTTCAGGATCTTTAGTGAACCAGCGTTTAGGTCAGCCGATACGTTTGTATCTTGTGAAGCCTAAGGAAGTCGATACTTAAGATTCTTCCAAAGACGCTAGAGTAAGGGCCCACTTCACATAAAACTGTTATTATTTGCTATTTATTATCTAAACATTGCTATTCTTCGCCAAGATTACAAGGTCTGCTATGGGGCACTTTCCTGTACCAAGTACGCTGCCAGTTTCGCCGCGAAAACGACTTGCTCACCAGCAAATCACGTCAGGACCCGACGGACTCAATGCGTTGAAAAACTGTTAGTCTCAATTTTGACTTTCAGCTCTAACAATTAGCTTTATGGCGATCGAACTGTCACATCGAAGCGTACGCACCAAATAACCGTCATTAAAATATCCTTTGTTTCGTAGTCCAGTCTGCGGTCACCATACAGAATTTGTAACAGGATCGACGAGCGAATATCAGACGACTATCTGCCATACCCCTGCTTCTCATTTCGCTGATTTCACCTGCGTTTCATCTTAGGATAATGATAGTGTCTTTTTGTCCAGAGAAAAAATTGCGATATCGTTTTATATCTTTGCGTGTTACTGAGATACGCTGTCTGCAATTTATCTTTTGGAAAAAACCTAATCGCCACAGTGAGACGGTGCTGGTGGGCCTACTAGCTTCATGGCATCCTCACTACATGGGGTTGGTATTGAACGCAAACGACTCCTAGTACTTCGGTGGTAGAGCGACAGATCACCATGAAAGCTGCTCCACAGCCACATTGTCCCGGTTGTCCATCGTCCGCCTTTTTGCTAACGAAGGGTACCCGATGTTGTTAGCAAACTAGGTCTAATACGAATATCTGACCTGCACCTATAAAAAACGACTTGTCTGGCTACTGATCCCTTGATATCTTCCTTCAATGAGCAGACGCGCAAAATAGCACAAACGATGTTTGCCGTTGGTTCTCCTACTTGTGTAGTTGATTGTGCTTTTTTTTTGTCGTCTTGTTATAGGCTGAATTCCCGTGAGTCGGCGCTACTTAGCCATTGAGTTAAGTTTGGTAATAGTAATTAAGGTGACGGTTGGATGCAGCTAAGGAAATAATTTGGTTCTTTTTCGTCAAGGGTTGTAGAATTTATGAGCTGAAGGATGAGGTTCAGTCACTATTGCGATGAATGTCACAGAGGTATCGATTGGTGAACGGATAAATAATCTACCCTCTCTGCTCGATGCGGTGGCTTGGACTGCTAGGTCAGCGCTTGAAAGGAGTGCGTTGCTGCTCTAACTCGAGCTAACAACAACAACCTGTAGTAGACAACCTGCAAATGAAGTTCTTTATTGAAGGCGATATAGTATACATTTGGTATATAAGTTATTTGTAAGCCATCATAGGTCGTTTGTGGCATGCCATCAAATCTTTCGCACAAATATGCATTCACAATGAGAACTAGCTTGTTGAGTCAGCTAAGAACTCTACATTACCTCACCGGAATTTTATAGTTAACTGTAGTAGTCTGACGAGCATATTAGCTGAAATGGCGATTTGAGACGACTGATTTTGGCGACAGTCCCCCAGCTTCACTGTTTCTATACGTGTTTTCTACTATTACATATGACTCTGTCAACACACTCATGATAGAGAGTTGTTATTAAATCTGGTATTATCAAATATTAATTGTATTCACAGTTGGCCGCTGAGTTTACTTCAATCTGTTTCTAGAATCGCTAATAACATGGAACGAAAAAGCCGTTTCGGGGGGGGGGGGAATGTTCGCAGTAGATTTCCCATGTGCTAGGTGCTAAATTTGTGACCAATATATGTTTATTTCTTGATAGACTATTCTCAATTGAGTCCTTATTTGCTTGCTTTGCCAAAGGACCTAGTAGGTCGTAATCGATTTCACTATGACTTTGGCCAGAATACCTTTCCCGCTCGAAACAGTAACAGGCAAATTCCGCAGTTGCCAATAGTTGAAATCTGCTTGAAAAGTTCCCTTGTCTATAGTCTAGAACGTACGAGTTCGTAATCGTACCATCGGATTTCGATTCAAATCTTTGTATCAACGCTTCAACAATGCGCCACTTCTTACTCTCGGATCGTTTAGCGTAGACGCACAGCTGATACGGAAACTTAACGGCCGCGTTTAGGCCGTTAGGCGGAGACCGCCTGGAAGACGGCATTAGAGACTTGAACGTTAATAATATAGTCATTTCTCAACGATATTAAGATGTTCAATAGGGTGATCGCGTAGAAGAAGGCTTGAGCCATTTAGAAACGTTTGTAATACGTAAAATAAGAACTCGATCACTCTTAATAGTGCAAGGTGTCTCATAGATGAAAATGTCAATTGTGATAAACAAATTCACAGCTTTTACTATCCCAGAGTTAGGCGCAGTAATCTGTTTCCTCAAATACTTTACTAGGTATTGAAAGCTGGTTCCATGATAAGCCTTGTTTGTGGGCATTTATATTGACGCTGTAGTAAACCAGCGCCAATTCCTCCATTTTAACAACAACAACAACAACAACAACAGACATTGGTAGACAACGCAGAGTTATCGCAGTATAGCTAGAATTTGACCTATTTAACTGAGCAAACGCCGTCCGTAACTTCTCCAAAAGACCATAGGATCTATAGCGAATGATGTGTGTAGAGATTATCAATGGGCTTTTTTTTTAACGATCAGGTTAATTTGTTTTCTCAGCCAGTGTCCTGCCATCTTGGCTATGTCGGGTGAAACGTTTATAGATCAAGACGTTTCTCCTATGAGGTCTATTCCTTAGAGAAACGTACATTTTCGCTTTACACTATCGTCAAAATAATACATAGGATCAGAGATAGAGATTCGGTTTGCTACTTGTAGAATTATTCCGTTGTCCCTTTACCACCCGATAAAAATATTCAAGTTGTCCTTATAACTAGACAAATACACTTTCTCATAGCTAGAAACATTTGAGTCGTTACTTTTCGACAAAATCGATACAAGGAGACGCGCTAATATAATTCTTATTTGATGAGGTGCTCGAACGTTAGCGAGAAACAATATTTGATGTGTTCACTAAACGATGAATTCGTATACCGTTTGACGCGTTTACAATCCTCGACGAGTAGCGCTCAGCCATCGCTCCGGTTCGGTAGGAAAGCGGGAAATCTCTGCCATTTTTCGGATAAAAACACTGCCTACTACTTATTAAAAGCGTCTTTCTCATGAGCACGCTTAAGATTACAACAACTATTTTAGATCCGTATTATAAGGATTCTAGCTGGAATAACTAATTTTATTCTTCAGCTGTGTAGGCTCAAGTCGTGCAGGATACTTTGGTAGAGTGTTTCAATTGTTTGTTAGAGCGTTCGCGAGCAAGGAAACGGCTTGCTCCTAAAGAACTCTACAGAGCATTTACGGAACACACATACGTGTGAATCTTATAAATACGTGTTACTGTTAATGGTCTTATAAAGGCAGCAATTGTTTTGATTTATTCACTAGCACCAATCGTTTAATGTTTCTTCAGGCGGCGACAGTATAGGAACGGAATCAATGTTCGTTACACAGCTCTTAAGGGCCCTGTTAAGCGGAAGTATGTGACCTAATTCAAAACCCTAGTAGCTCAGTTAGTACGCATTTGAACTTCTCCTAAATGTGTAATGCTGACGTGAAGAATGAAAATTAACCATGAAACCACTAAGTTGCGCCCCCAATTTCAGGCCGGACATCATCCACTCTGCTCTATTTCACCATAATAAAATAATGACAGGTGGCGTTAGACAACGTTTTGTGCGTTCTTCTACGTCAGTTAAGTATCTGAAACTTAGCTGATATAGAAGAATCTATATAGAACAAAGTGTTTAGTTTCAACTGTTCCGACTTCTAGTGTTAGCCTATCGGTAAGGTTACCTTTTACCTTATATATCGTGCGGAGCAAATTTTTAGGCCGGGGTCCTTCGCAAAAGCGCTTTCGATTCAGAGACACAATTCAGGGACTACCGTAATTTTGCTCCATACGTCCCGTCATATGGTTGGATAGAGTAAGTCAACAATATGGATCCCTTCAGTAAAGGAATCCATATTGCTCTATCATGCTGCTGACTGTTATACACGAGCACGGAGTCGTCAGTTTACACCAGACTCCACTCACAAATAGAAACATGCTTCCTTGAAAGTCTTTTATTTGTAAAGAAATTACCGCAAAATCTCATAAAAGAAACTCCTGCTTATGCAATTAATACAACGCATAAAGTTGTATATGATGCTAATACTATTCGGTTTAATGAACGTAAATAAAGTTAGTTAGTAGAACTTTGGAGTCCCCAAAGACCGGGGAAAGGATTTAGCAGTCGAATGCTTCGAAAAGTTAAACAGAGAAACCAACGTAGAAAAATCTAAATGTATTATATTTTCTCCGCTAACGATATGAATACCGACTCGGCTCAATTTTGCTGTTCCTTCAATAAAATAATGGATGCACAATTTGGCCGAGATAAACATGTTATTGATAATTATATTTTAAATACGATCACGTACGGCTACGAGTCAAAATTTCCAACTTTCATAATTTTTTACATATATATGGTTTTAAAAAAAGGTTAGTATTTAGATAAGCAGACCGTAAAAACAGATCCTTGTTTGGAGACGTTCAAACTTCATATTGGGTTAAAATTAAGAATGAAACCCTTGTACCAAGATGAATATACGAACAGAGACAATAGAAATTCGCAGCAAAACAACATGAAACAAAGGTTCTTTATACAACACAAGTCGGCTGTTCAAACGGCGTGAACGAACTTTGAAAAGGAAGCGCGAAATTTAAAAAAAGATGCTAATACTTTTAAGGTACTTGTAAGGGTGACATTGAAAATAGTGATATCTGTAGCTGCGGGGTAGCTAAACATGTTTTCGATAGAAGCGACTTTTTCTCATTCTCATCATCAACGTCATAGTGGCTACGCTAAATGACTGGCGAGATGACCCGAAGAGCGAACGGATATGCCCAGAGCATCAGGCTACTCGGGCAATAGAAAACCGGGCTATAAAAAATCTTTATCTATCCCACAGAATACATTTACGTCTAACATGCATACAGCGGCAAAGCTCACATGTGGGTAGAAGGTGAGAAGCAACCATCGACCAGTGAAGGTTTAAACAAAACTGCAACAATGTATTTAGTGACTATAGAAAGCTCTATAGTGGTACTTTCTCAGCATCTTTAAATATTCGACAAAGATATTGATGTCAATTTTAACTTAGTTAATAAATAACTCCGTTCCAAATCTGTCGCAAAGTGCCAAAAGGACATTTGCTAATCTCACGGGACGGTTACCCAAAATTTGCGAACGTTCAGCTGTAGTCGCCGTTGCCGCTAGGACTATGCCAACAATCAAATTTGTCAACTCTTAACCAGTCCTTCTCACTAAATCTTTTGTCTGTAAAACAGAACCTCTAACGTAGGCAGTGAAATGAATAAAATTCGTATACTCCTGATATAAATTAAAAGGAGTGTATTATTACCGTACGTATATCTACTATTACAGAATAGACGGTTTCCACAAAAATAGCCACTATATATATACATAATAAAGACAAATGATGATTGTCATTTGTCTCATTGTAGCGAAATAGTCGAAAATGTTTACTTATTAAATTAATTACTACTATATTGTTTCAGGGAACAGCGAAAGATAATTAATAATACTAAGAGTTATAATGTTTACCTTCTTATCTTACAGGCATCAAACCAGATTATTCAAGTTATCTTTTTTATAATTGGGTCTTCTCGCACTATGGCCAAAGGTTCTTTCACGCCTCATGTCCAGGGCTCTACCCTAAACGAGTATCGTTAGAAAAAAAACCTAAAAACTGCTGAGTATGGAACTCTGCAGGATAACAGCTTTATGAAACATCTAGGTTTGTTGTCAATTCCATAACACACCAACCCGAAATCAGCCTCAACGATATAATTTGCCAGGAGATTTAGAATCACCAGTTCCGGAATCTAATTGGATAGAGTAGATTACGTAACCAGGAAATAATGTAGTAGTGCAGAAAATATTACGTGCGACTGTCGTACTACGGAACATTCTGTCTTGCCACGTACTTCCGAGTCCTATTCGGTTTTTCGAAATAGGATAAAATCACTAACCAATGCATAGTTGATTTTTCACATATACCCGCACCTCTGGCATGCTAGTAAGTTGTAGAAGTCTATTTGTATTTACTACCCTTATGGTGTAAGCCTGTTGCTATACAGTTTTTCTGTGTCTGTTTCCGATACAGCTGGCTAAGACTGGTTGGATTTTGTTTATCGCACTGCTGGGTTACAGTAGAAGACTGTGTATCTAAAAAAAAAAATTTAAGAAAAAGCTACTTTTCAGGCCCAGGCGATTGACAGCCATTGATATGTTCGCATCATGGCCTCGTGCTAACGAGGCATTTCTAGCAAGAACGATTGAAGATAATTTTTCTTAGGATTATTTTTTTGTGACCTCTCACATTATTTAATAGTTTCTGGTTTAGCGGGGGTGTCCAACATTTTCGCATGATACCAGCCTGAACGTATACGGAACGTTAACGGCATTCAGCGTGAATGGCGTTTGGTGCTCGGCGTCTATTAATTAAGACGACTGGATAATATGGAGAACTTATTCTGATGTCTGTGTGGAAATTTGCATCGTTGTCTTAGATTGAAAGGTTCTGGAAAGTGTATCTTGGAACTCACTAGTACAACTACATGTTTTTCAAGGTAGCATAAAAAAAACAGGCTTTGTCCACGGTGAAGATCGACTGGTAGAACGGCATTATCCAACAAGCAGCAATGGAGAGCTCATAAGCAATCATTACTACGAATGTATAGTCTAACTAGAAGCGACTGTTGTTGTCACTGAACTATAGTTCGTGTACGATGGTGCATGAGCTAACAATATGGTCTTTTAGAATAATATTATGTCATAGCACCTAACTCACATGAAAATATACGAGCGTAGAAAATATCTAGCTTTGCACCATACTTTATCGTTTAATAAAGGCGAACTTCTATTAAATAGAAACAAGTTACAATAGATGCATCAACTAAATTTACGATAATCTAAGCCATAAATAGCCCGGAAAAGACAAAAAAAAAGTAGATCTAGCTGAATTGAGAGAAAGTCAGTTGGAGAATATGTCTGATATACGAATCTATGATATATATGAATAAGGTCTGATTACGTTGGACAACGCAGTTAACGCGAATAGACTAAGTGGTCCGGCTGTTTTGTAGAAAGAGACATTGAACTAACTGATATCTATCTTGGGATACCTGGCTCACGATTACTGTTGAGCATGTTAGTTCTTACAAATATAACAACTAAACTAAGCGCTTGTTTTTTGAAGTTTACTACAGTGCGCCGTTAGCCGTCGCGGGCTTTCAAGTTCAAACAATCGGTGACCTATCGTCGATGCGGATAAACAATAGGATTGAAGCGGAGATTTTTATTACCCGATCATAGGCAGGTTGCCTCATGGATATAGTACGCTTCTTCACAGCGGCTCATATGTGACTCAATGAGCGCGGTTAGTAGCCTCTTTTGCTGCTATTTTACCTAAGGTTTTATAAGATTTTTCACAGTGAACACTCCATCTTAGCCATCTTCAGTTAGACGATTGAGAATGATCATCGCATTCGGATATAACTCCCTTTTCGATTTTCTCATCACGTTGCTGAGGTACGGCCTAAAACCATTAGCTAACCGTTAGTAGTGCGCATCTGCCACAGCTTTCATTGCTGACGTTTAATGCCTGGTCGAAAGATCTTCACAAATGTTACCGCTTATTTGATATAGTAGCTAACGACGATGACGACAACGACAACGAGAACAACGAAGTACCCCATACTGTTCCATGCTTTGTTAGACAGTCATCATCGAAGAAACACTAGACTAACGGTGCTATACTTTCAGTCAATTCGTATAGTAAGCAACATTAATCGCGTATCATAGAATCGTAATGGCTACATTCACAAATTGCTGAAAATTGATAACACCTACGAAACGGAGCAGAAATATACGGTACAGATAACATCCGAACAATTTGTCTGAAGAGTAGAAGCTTAATAAACTTCATACCAACTGAGGAGCGGCGTCCCATCTCTCTAACTAACATAGAATTTTGGTTTGACTACTATGGCAAATTTTTGCCCCGCGTGTCCTCCAGTAGAACTCTTGAAACTTCCATCTGCAAACAACAGAAGAAGCGAACAAACGCTTTTCCCGTTTAGCTAGATCCAGATCACATGTATTAGGTACAAGCACGCATAGCGAAGATCATAAAAGGTGCAATACATCAGCGATCGGCCATCGTTGTATAGGGGGTGCGGCACGACATCTGATCGAAGCCGGGTGCATAATGCTCCGTGGACGGGAAGATCGGCGGTTGCTAAGCTTTCGTTGAAGATACGCAGATAGTAAACATGCTATCGCCTATTCTGTTATGGTTTGTTCCACAGGAAGGCGCAAAAATTCAAGACTTAGATAGATTCAAGACCTTTAGAAGAATATAACACGTGCGACTTAGTAAGCATCGGTGTTCACTTTCAATATGCGTCGAAGATAATGAAAAGAACAGAGTAATTGGGAAAAGATTATTGTCACTTTGTTAATCGGGACCTGTCGGTGTTACGAGCGTCGCTTCATGGCAGGACTTGCCGGTATCCTAAGGTAGGCAAGAATGTGCCCTACACAATTGTTGAAACTGATGAGAGACAATTATGTTGAACAAACATTGTCACAAGAAAGTAGCAAAAACGTAAAAGGGTTATAGACAGAATGTTGCATCACGAATCCATCGGAACCAACAAGGTCTACATGAATGAAGGCGAAGCACGCAGCGGCTGGAAGGAGGAATGAAAAATATATATTGAATCGATACATCCTAAATTTCTTCGGTGATTCGGTACTGGTCAGGTGTCTCAGAAAAACGAATAACAGAACTTCGATCAGCGCCGTCGTTATGCTAGGAGAAATTCTTTTTGAAACATTTGAACACATTCGTCCGAAGATCTGTATTCGATTCTGTCGTTTGTGTAAGTGAAGTTCGTGTCAAAATGTAGAATATTGCCAACAGGTTGCTGAAACAGTATCTCAAAAGGCTGACATGTTCCGAGGAGTGATACACGTAACATAACTTCATGTGCTCGCGAACCCCTCAACAGGTTATAAATCGTCGGCGAGGTCTAGGTTTGGCAGTTTACAACTGCGCCAGGTTTCAGTAAAAATGGTCCAACGAAATACTGGTGCCCTTGCTTCGCCAGGTACCAGTTTCTTCACACTGGAAGATACGACGCAAACCTTACAGTAGTTCTAGTACCTGTATCCAATTGGCTTTTGCCGTACAACGTGTTCACACATTATTACCGGTGTACGTACATCATCGTCAAAAGCCACTAACCGAAGTGTTCTCGAGATGGAGAAACTGCCACTACGGCGATCTCATCACTGGTTTTCCCCGCAGCTAAATAGGTCTGGTTGTTAAGTTCTCGCCATAGTCGAAGATTTTAGCACAGCGGCTATATTTGCAAAGCTTGTCATTAAGCCTCATAAGAAACGGGCAGTTAGACAAAAACTTGAAATCTTTAACATGTTTACAAAAATGATATCCGTTTAGGATAGAAATAGCAATAAAGGATATCCCGTACGAGCTGGAATGGCAAGAGCATCGTTGCTGACGGCTTGGTGCTAGCGTATACTGAGTTCCCGCTGAACATGCCCAGTCTGATGTGTGATTCCTTCAATGCATTCATTTGTCGTAGAAAGGATTGACGAAAATCTGTGCTTCACGCACGGGTATTAAGGATCTAGACGAAAATAGGATCTTTGCTGCTAACTTGGTGAGTGGTTGCTGGTCTAATGAATTTAAACGCTGTAGCCATGATATCCAATTCGTATACATTACCAACCTGTTCTTCCTTACTCGGCATTCAAATATGTGATTTCTGCTATGTTCGGTTCAGGTATAGGAGAGGTATTCTCCTTAGTAAGTCATGTACTATTTTCGTGAGATGTATTCATACCACGTAGAAAAAAAACCGTTATCAATATAACACAAATTATATAATCAGCATAGCGTTTCCGCCTGCTTGACTCAGTTTAAGCGGTTTGTGGTAACAAAGACAGCTAAAAACGTAGCTCACAACCAGCCGCACTTTTCGCCTTTCACGTTCGCCCTGCTGCTCGTGGTCATTTCGCCCCTTTTTTTTTGCCATTTCACTTTCAACGTCCTTCCAACAGATACTCTCCAGCGCAACAAACCATTGTGCCTATTATAGGTTGAGGGATGCTCTGGACGCGCGTGATTTTTATACTAGCAAAAGCTACTATCAGGCTGTTGACGCAATGCCAACCAAATTGTCATATCGTGCGCTAGCTTGTGATGGTGAAGTAATATTGAAGTCGACTAGATTGAATTCTGTCAATAGGAGACAAGGTGACTATCTGTATCATTACATAGTAGCATGTTAGAAGCTGTCAAAACACAGATATCAGGCTGAAATCACTAAATATTATAATGGTGCTTATAGTATACTTTAATCGGCGTTGGCCAGCTACCGAGAGGGGCAATGTACAGCTGAACGCTGAAAGCAGCATCGGATCTGTCAGAGGCAAACAAATCCACGCCACGAAAATAGAATTCTGACGGATAAATCTGTCGTATGAGATTTTTTATAGCTCGTTGCTATTTTTTTTTTTTTGAGACAGATCTATTCTTTTTATTCTGACTATCGGTTTCGTTAAGTGAATATTTGTAGTTATCGCTACGGAGCTTCTATTTTACACAATTTACAGTTAGCGTTCATCTAGCTTGCTCAGGGAGATGTGATTGAAAATAATTTCCTTCTGTTTTTATGGACAGAGGAATAGTCTTCTCAATTCGATATATTATAGCCCTTGGCTAATAGCTACAATTGATTCCAGTTTCTTCTGAGTCCTAAACAGTCAAATAATATGAGTACAACTGGCGAATATCACGAATGCCGCCGCCGTCGAACTAGCCAGTAGCAGAATCGTCAACGCATGCAGAAAAATGATGAAACAGGCCACAGTCCAGCAAAGATCATCACTTGTAGCAGATCCAAATAGCTCAATGTGACGAAGATACTTGTTCATACGTAAAAAGATCATGATAAACAAAAAACTGAAAGGAGACAGCACGTCCAGTGCCGGATAAGAAATAACTTTCCAAGCTTTGAAGTATCTATTCGCGTAAGCCAGACCACTATGAGATGAAAAGTAGTGTGCGTAAGAAAAAATAACAGCGAGAAGCGAGAAAGAACCTTGCATAGATGTGAAGTTACATTGGGTAGAAGTGGTCGATAAGTAATTACGTGCGAGACGAGATAAAGACAACCCGCTGGTTCAACCTATGCGCAAAATATACGGCAAACTCGCAGCAATACAAAAAAGAAAATGCTAGGGACGATATAGGCCGGATAAAAAGGACGCAAATATCCCAAATTGCCTTGGGCTAAGATGTGCACATGTATTATTAAAGTGAATGTATCTAGTAACAAGCTTAGTTATAACGGATGAGAAACCGTAAGTTAGCGGTAAAGAGTAAAAACCGGAGTCAGTTACTGGAGGAATACATTAACTGAAAAGAAATTCCTTTAAAAGTAGTGTTCATGACACCTGACGACTTTCCTATTGTCGCAATATACGGCCAAGGCGCAAAACTGATTTGGAGAAGGACACAGGCGTAAAAAACGGAGCAGGAAATTTGAAAGAAAAGGGATGAGAATCAATGTCGATGGTAGAGATGGCTACAAATTAGGACAAATGATTAATGTGCTTCTTTTATTAATGCTACTATGCTAGTATAACAGAGTAAACAGGAACAAAACGAATACTGGCATAGATCACAACGATTAGGTTGATCTATGTGGCCCGGAGGCTTCGAAAAGTCCAGGTAAAGCTAGCCGATCAACTAATAATGCTTATTGTTTAACCAATACAGACTTTAAATAACACTAAAGCCTCATTAAAAACGACACCGAGTTCTTCGAAGAAGGAAATCGGGTCGTAAAGGGCCTTACAACTCCAGTGGAAGACTTAAGCGGAGGAGAAATCATTCAAATATTCACGGGATTGCCCCGGGCCAAAACGAAAACCACATTTCTCGAAAAGTCGGGCAAGAACATCGGCAGTTTCTAGAAGCTGAAGGCGTCTAGAGCTTTGAGTCTTGAGCTTTGAGCTCCTGAGTTTTCATAAACTCAGGCTATCTCAAAGCCCATAGCGATACCCATCCTAATATAATCAAAACGCGCACGAGTAAACGCTACTTAGAAAAATGTTTGAAGAGCGTGTGGAGTATGGGGTGGACCTGGAAATAATCGGTTCTATAGATTTTGTTACCTCTCCAGAGCCGCCTCTAGGCAGGCCTGAAAATTGTGGCCCTCTACAATCTTAATACGAAAAGTGAATATGGAACAAATAGGTATTTTCCAAAGATGCTTCCTCGACAAGTATTAAACCGATTTTATGAATGAAATATCAAAGCATTACATATTAAAGTACTTATTAAGCTGCACAAAAACCCAACCTGAAGACTAGGCGCATTGGGCTTAAAATACAAAAATATTTCTCTATATTCTACGGATAAAGTTTGTCGTACCTAACACGATGCTGCTACTGTTAGAAGTTTACAAGCAATGATAATCGATCATTGTTCGAAGTCTAAAATCACAAATAATAATATTGTTGATATATATATATATATAAAAAATAATAAAAGGTTAGCAATTCCACAAACTTTTTTTACCTACGATAGCACGAGCGAATTTAAGCTGAAACAGCTGATCTGATCAATATCCGACTGTGGTAAAATTTGCAATCTTCGACAGATCTTTCGATGTGAAAAAGTATATAAGCGAAGTTTGGATTTACAAGAGATTTTCGCACGTACGTAAAACTCAACAAACTTTATTAAAAATCATTAAAATTTGCTTAGCATTGAACAAATACTTATAAAAACGTATTCACCTCCACAACCGAATAATATATTGAGCTGGCTTGGGCTAAACCATATCTTGTTCCAGTGGATAAAATGCTACTCATGAAAAATTTTCGCTAAGCAGACGCGCGCGATGTCTACACCTACATCGAACAGCGTTTCCAATGAAAGTTTTTTTCGATGGAGAAAAAATTATACTTAGCAATAATATAGCATCGAAATTTAACACTTTTTTTTACATAATAATTTCACTTAACCTTTTAGAGTGGCAAAAGAGACTCTTCGGCATACGTCAATGAATCGTTTTCTATCGATGAAGAGGACAACCATAAGTTAGCCGCTAGACGTCTCCATGGAGGATCAGATTCGAGACGGAAAAGCAGAGAAGCTAGAGGAGGAAGCGCCAAATCTGAAGACGTTGCTTCTACAGAAAGTGACCAGAATGAGGCAATGGTAAGAACCAGCGTATATTTCTGGATTTGATAAAACGTTTTCTTTATTTGTTCTAGAATTGTTTGATCATTCTTTTTTATCCGACTCGAGATAAAGCGCCCCGAAGATTACTGACATTGCTGTAGGAATTCGCTGTCTTTTACGATTTCGTTACAATAAGGGAGCAAATGCTGCCCAGGCTTGTAAAAAATGTGCTGGTCATGGCCAAGACAGCCCAAAAATGTTTTGCCGCTTTCTTTCAGGGAATTTTTATGCGGAAAATGCTCCTCGTAATGACCAACCAGTTATGGAAAAAGTTAACGGAATTAATGTGTTTAGCAAGATCGCCACGTGATTAGCCGTGATATCGCCAAAGAAGCGAACATCCATCATGAAACATTTTTGAGCCATTTGCAGAAAGATGACGACGAAAAAATCAGGCTATTCGGATGTCAACCAAGAGATCAACGCAAAAGACCTTACTCAGCCGTGTTTCCACCTGTGAAACCGTGGTAGACGCAATTCAATCAAGCCACTCGATCATTATTGATGAAGAGTAGATCACATACGACGATAATGAAGAAAAAAAATAGGCTTCACAACCTTTGGCAAATCCCACCAAAGAAGGTGTTTAGTGGAACTAGAAAGGTATCGTTGGTGTCTGACAAAACGATTGATTTGGACTCCGATTGTTAACAGGATTACAGTAGACGACTGAGAAAAGATCGACTAACTAGTGAACAGGAAAGGCGTTGTCTTCTATCATAACAATGCCAGGCCATATACGTATAAAAATCGACTCGATAAGAACTGAGAGAACTGGAATGGGAGATTTCGTGCGTCTGCATCATTGGCTGGACTTTCCACCACCGGACCATCAGCACTCTCGATCTCTGCAAAACTCTCAGTTGTGTTAATTCAATTCTAATGGAAAAAGTGCAAAAATAACTTGCCACGGTTCTACAGCCAGGAGCTATAAAAAAAAATTGGCACAAGTTCATCGATAAAAATTGGGCCTATTTAATTTAGCAATATTATTTTACTACATAAAGGATATTTCCTTTCATTTTGGCAACTCATATACATGAGTTATATATATATATACATATATATATATATATATTTTTATTATATATATATATATATATATATATATGTATGTAGATGTAAAACAATCTGTTTTTCGTATAAGATTCATACTGCATATACAAATGCTCTATATGCTATTCAGTTTTTTACATTCTACTATAATATTTTCCAATGGAGACGGTCCTACGCACAAAATCCCACGTCAAGTAAACCCTTACGTTTAAACCCTTAGGATAAAGATGAACCCAGACCCAAGCGTAATTTACTACCTATCTTCACTGGACGTTGTTTTTTTTATATATTTTATTCTTTGTGCATGTTTCAGACAGCAGATAAAGATTCAGGATCAAACAACAAGTCGGAACCCAAAGTCCTTTCGCGGGGTCAATGGGCCAACAAAGCCGAGTTCATTTTGTCGTGCATCGGACTTTCCGTCGGCATTGGAAATATCTGGCGATTTCCTTTTCTTGCCTATCAGAACGGCGGAGGTAGGCAGTACATGTATATATACTGATTTTTGTTTGGGTCTTTCAGGGAAAAAGTAGACGAAACGAGACACTGAAGCATGATATGTACGCGTTTGCTCTTATGTCAATCTAGATGCGCACTTTACACTGACGTATTACCGCAAACCAAACGATCTTTACATTGACGTTCCAAGCTACACGTTTTTTTGCAGATTGATAAATCGAGTGAGAAACCAATTTTATGCTATTAGATGTACTTAGCTTTAGGCAAATGCTAGTCAAAACAGCTAAAAATTATTACGTTATTGATCATTATCGGTATACGTACGTATGTTTATTGGGTATCCACTGATGATCAGCTTATCCTCTGCGTTTCGGAAATATAAACACTACGTCGGCCTTTGGCTGACCGAATCGTCATGCGACGTTTGGGTCCTAAGGTTAAATCGGGATTCTTTAGAACTGACCCAATCGACGTCTTAAACTTTTCCGTTGATAATTTTTAACCGTGCGTGATTTACTTGTATTCTACTATTCGTATTGTTATAGTCTTCGGTACTAATCAGCGCCGACGGTACTGCTTCCTGTGATTGCCATTCTATTACCATTTTTCTAATTTCAGGTGCCTTCCTATTACCTTATTTCACTCTAATGTTGCTTATCGGCAAACCTCTCTATTACCTGGAGCTTGCTATGGGCCAGTTCAGTTCATGCGGTTGTTTAGAAGTATGGAAATGTGTGCCAGCTTTCAAAGGTGAGTGAACGCGCACATTTTTCACGCACGAGTCTCACTTGGCGCATTGTATGTGCATACTATTTAGCTACAGATTCAATATATATAGGATTTATATATGGGGTATATAGTTCTGATGTTGGCCGCTGATCGAAGGCTGCCAGTACGTGTACGTTTACCGCATACAATCCGTGAACTTTACATTAATTTACACGAAAGCCATGGCCCAACGCATGTTTAACACGGTTTCAAATAGATAGAAAATTTGTCGAAAGTAACTTGTAACTACTAAAAATAACTTAATCTTCAATAACCGACTACCTATTTGTTTGAATTAATCGAGCTCTTGGCTTAAGTCTAAATTAAATTGAATCTTTATATTGTGCTATAATTCTTGAATACTGCCGTTTCGGAAGAGAAACTTGATCCATTATTTGTTAATTTAACAGGTGTGGGCTACGCTCAGCTCGTGACCTCTACAATTATATCGATCTATTACAATGTAGTTCTGTGCTACACAATATTCTATATGGGGCAGAGTTTTCGTTCAGAACTGCCATGGTCGTCATGCGCAAAGTGGTGGGGCGCTGACAGTCAGTGCTACGTCCGCCAAGACGACGTGGTAAGAGGCGTACTGCTTTGCTTGTTTATTTTGCTTTTATTTGCATGGAAATCTGCGCCCTCTGGTCGCGTAGACATAGTCGGATAAGATAGATCTCGTCACCCGAGGCAATTTTTTTCCGTATAGAGCTTTCTACCTTGTCCCAGTAACTGTAATATGTAATAAAAGCGCAAACGGTTTAGCTCTCCACTGCTTATAAATTTATTTTTAACACCTTTTCTTAGTAAATCGACGATTTAGTTTATTAAAATGATTGTGTAATGTATTTGGAGAATATTTTGGCGTTTTTCTTTTGCCGTTATATCTATTCAATTTAGGCGCGCTGTGATGCTCAGAAAAATCGCTTAGTACAAATGTTCGGAAATAACACACCGGCCTCATCAGGATTTACGATTACCGATTCGAGGAACCAGTCGGTGACGATTCCCGTCTCTTTGTTTGCTGCTAGCATGCAAAACTGTACCAATGCCACTGAGACTGCTAGCCAACAGTTTTGGAAGTACGTTACACCTTAATTATCTAGGAGTACCGATATACTCGTCTAGGCACGCTTGCGTAACAATTTTATAACGAAATTTCTCTAAGCCAAATTGGGTACTTTTTACACTACGTCTGCTTTCTTTGAGCCTGTTTCAAGTTTTTTTTAGTTAACTTAAATGGAGATTCTCAATTCGTTTCAGATTGCTGAAATGCCTGAACCCTAGCTGTCAGAAAAGCGGTTGCTCAAACGATCAAATCTAATTACAGGACACAAAGTGTTTACATAAAAAAATGTTTACACTAATTATGAACATTGTTTATGTTCCACTTAACATTGCGTTTTTTCTTTTTAATTTTGTTTTCGTGATGCTAGCAAGTATGTCCTTGGTTTGACGGAGAGTATCGAGAATATGGGCGCAGTTCGTTGGGATTTAGCACTATGTCTGGCTATCTGCTGGGTTATTGTATTTTTGTGCTTGATCAAGGGCGTGAAATCCAGCGGCAAAGTGGTCTACTTCACGGCTACATTTCCCTATGTAGTGCTGATCACTCTCCTTATACGTGGCCTCACTTTACCTGGAGCAAGTAATGGAATCTTTTACTTTCTTGTTCCCGATTGGAGCAAAGTTATCGACATTCAGGTATGTGCCCCCCCAGATTGTGCAGTGGCGGAGGCGTATCTATTTGTTAAAACTTGAAATGCAAAACGCAACTCGTTTTATGCAGGTAGAAGCTAGTCATCTGAAGCCACACATTAACGCAGTGCTGGAACTTGGAACTTTTTAGTTATGTACACATGCCCGATATGTGCTAATGAAGCAATCGTAAAAGGATCTAGGTCTTTATTTCAGGACTGTAGTATCAAATCTAGTCTAGTCCAACGGGCAGGGGAACTTGGATTGTGATTAAGCTATAGATGGAAATATTATTGAGACTGTAATTAGCGTGACTGAATCCGTATCATTTTATTAAGCTATAGGTTTCTTGAGTTTGTTCTGATAGATAAAGATAGAGACAACGATATTGCAACGTTTAAATTTCAAGTTTTTTCTTCATCTTTTCTAATTGTAGATGTACGGGACGTTCGTCTCGCGCGTTATGTCGCTTTTCAGATCTGGCGGAAGGCGGCCGAACAGCTTTTTTATTCATTAGGAGTCGCACAGGGAGCCATTGTTATGTTCGGCAGTTACAATCGTTTCCGGAACCCTGTTCACATGTAAGTGATACTTGTGCCTCCATTGTTGCTTAGATATATTCCAAATATTGCATGAACGTACGGACCTACTAACGGATATTGGCTCCCCTCCCAAAAAGCGATTTCATAGGAAATGTCTCACTCATTATTTAATAATAACTATTTAATAACAAGATATTTAAAATATCTTGTTCGTTGTGACTAGTTCATAGTCTAGTGAACTATTCTTAGCGAGCCACAAGACCTGTGATATACGATAGTATATGTAAATAGACAGGAGGTAGAAGTGGCTAAAGGAACATTTGCACCACTACTAATTAATTTGTGTGTTCCCTCGGCCACGTTCAGTGACGCCCTTTTCATTTCAACGATGGACTTCCTCACGTCGCTGATGGGTGGTATCGTAATCTTTTCGATACTCGGTAATATGTCACACGAGCTTGGAATACCCATTTCTGATGTGGCGTCACAAGGACAGGGTTTAGCCTTCGTCGCCTATCCTGAAGCGCTCTCACGACTCGTCTGGCCGCAACTATGGTCTTTTCTATTCTTCTTCATGCTTTTCCTGCTTGGACTTGACTCCGAGGTTAGTAGCACTTCACTGATACCTTGTTTTTTTTTTTCAATTCGAGATCACCCCGCTTTCTGTTGATAAAATTGTAAAACATTAAAAGGAATCAAGTCTTTCGAGGCTAAAGTCCCAGGGCAGCTTGTAACGTCTTCGCGTAATGCTTGGGCAGCGACACAGCCATATTGTCGACACAGTTACGACGACTGAGGCTCTTGAAAGACTGCTAGTAACAACTGTCAGGTGAAACGGGTGACGGCATAGCCTTAACTTAGTGGAAAATAGGGACTTATAAATATAAGTCGTATTAGCCTCTTATCTGGTGATGGGCATATCGGAACGGGGGCAACCGGTAAGGAAAGCTGTGCTTGGCGTCTTCGATAACTAGCGCTGGGGTATATACACTTTACTACAACCTACTTAACTGACTAGCTAGTGAATCTCACCGAATCTTTTTTCGAGTCGAGAGAGATGCGTTAAATTGTTTCTGTGTTATAGGAAACTCACGAAGCGATTTTCGTTATTAACCCGTTCGAAGGCAACATTTGAGTGAAGGCGATCTAACTTCAGAGTACCTTAGATGGCACTGAAATAGGTCGCTAATTAGAAATAGACTAGTTCATAAGATTGTGATATAATCGAAGACCATATCTAAGTCAATAAATGCAGAAACGTAGTACACGCTTATGCGTCCTGTTGGTGTGATGCTCTTTCTGAATAGGAACTGTCAAAACTATGTACACAAACTAGTGTCATCCACACAGGTATAATTTGTTTTTTTCTTTTTAATCTTCATTTTGAGTAGAATTTGGCTTTGTTCTTGTGCTCGTCACAATGCCAGCGGGTTGATTAACTGGAATTTAATTATCAGATCGAATGATGATTCAATAAATGAGCAATGACGGTGTTAAACGTGATCTACTACTTTCCGTTTCAAGTCTTACTGAAATTTAGACTAAAAAAAAAAATTCGCTCATTCAATACGTCCTACACCAATCAGACATACGGTTCGCCTTTAACCTAGTAACATCATGGTGCGGGTGACATCGCTGGAGAGTAAAGCAAGACAGTGGAGACAACATGCAATTTACCGCTGAGTTTTCACAAAATACGCTATTCAATGGCTCTCCTTTCTTTAACAGTTCGCGATGATCGAGACGCTTCTAACAGCACTCTATGATGAAAGGCCTGAGCTGCGTAAGAACAAAATGCCTTTGACGTTCCTCGTGTGCTTTATATGCTTCATTCTGGGCATACCTTGCGTGATGGAGGGGGGTCAGTACGTGCTCAACCTGATGGATACCTATGGAGGAGGCATTTCCGTTGTGTTCCTGGCTGTTTCTGAAGTTATCGGCGTTTCTTGGGTGTACGGTATGTTTAGCAAACTAATTCAGCATTCATTCAATGAATTGCCTCGGTCGATCGAGTTTTCTTCGTCTTAGACACACCTTCACTGAGGAACCATTTGAGCCAAAAGCTTATCATCTGGCTAAGAAGTAGGTGGTAGGATCAAATAAGGAAAGTTCACTGCCTAATAGAGGGGCTAAAAGCATTATATATATATATATATATATGGAGAAATGCGGTTAAGCAAACAATGCTATGCGGTAAGCCGGCCATGCCTGTACCTTATGCCGGGAGAGCTGGTTCTTTCAGCCAGAAGTCATTTTACCTAGACGAAGCACTTTTGACTAACCAATTACTGATCGTTAGTCAGTACCTTAAAAGGTCAGCCACCCTCAATATTATTATTCGTATGATGAACACTAATGCGGCTCTTTGGCCTATTTGCAACAGTCACTCCCTTTCATTCCAGAGACTTCTTCAAATTTTTCTCGAAGGTCGATGTCGATGTCCATTCATCTATGAGTCTGCAATGTTGATTAATTAAACGAAAAGTTCTCTTGCGAGTAGTTAGGATCTCAGAAAAAAAAAGGAGCGAAGGTAAACAATTATAGCTTTTATCATCTTCTAGGCGTCAGCTTACTTTTAAGTAAATTATTGATGAGTCGTCACTTTGGTTACGTTTAGGTGTGAACAGAATCTGCGCGGACTTCGAATTCATGATTGGCCACAAACAGTCGATGTACTGGCGCATTTCGTGGTTCATATTCTCGCCTTTGATTCTCATGGTGAGTTCTATATTCGAATGAGTACCATTGTGTGTTCTTTCGTTTCCATTTAAAATGTATTGTAAAGATATATTGCTAGGGTCTGTATAGAAACGCAAATTAGTACATGACTCGATGTAAACCTAGTAACGCTATAATCTTCCTTTATGCTTGAAAAGTTTCTTAAGTGTTTTTTGTTTTTGCAATTTTTACCGTTTGTTCTCTGCTAGTTCCTATTCATTTACGGTGTGATCAAACACAAACCGATTGACTACAACGGAGTCCCCTATCCAAGATGGGCCGATAACGTTGGATGGGCTATGGCTCTAGTTTCGATGTGTCTCGTGCCCATCTACATACTGTATTCAGTTTTCAAAAATCGAGACGTGAGTACCTCCATCTACAAAGCGCTATTAACATAATTCGGTCATCACTGAGTTTCTTCCTATGCGATCTAGCGGAACACAGGTTTAGCTTATAATCTTATAATATAAGAAAATCTATCTAGCTTATAATTAGAAAGCATGTTTAGCTGAGAACTAGCTTGTAATTATAAGAAAAATATGGCTTGGTGTCCAGTTAATATTGGCAAGATCTTCTTTCGTTTTCCACAGTGCGAAAAGCACTTTTTTTTTGCATTTGCATATTTAAATAATATTATTATAATAATATTTTTTATTTATATTATATATATATA